TATGTGTTCCTATTCATTAAACACGGATGATGAACAATCTGTTCGTGCTCCTATGTTTAATGAATATTCTCAGTACTTGATGTGTGTGTTACAACCACTCAAGTACTTGATTTTATTTTAGCAGATGTGACACGTGTTCCAACGATATACCACATGCAGATAAGGTAATGACGTACGTGTTGATAACTTAAAACTGTGGTTTGTTGCTTATCTAGTGATCTGTTAAATCATTCGTGTACGAGAATTTCTTTTTTATTAATTCACGTGTAACAAATGTGTGTACACAAAACGTGGTTCATGTTTCATGGAAACAGAAGCTTTTTTATATTCTTCCTATTCATTAGAACCATTTTGTGTTCCTTTTCATTAAACACGAATGATACATTTGTGTTCCTATTCATTAAAACACGACTGATCCTTATGTGTTCCCATTCATTAAAACACGACTGATCCTTATGTGTTCCTAGACGCGTGGGACCAATTATACAAAACCTGACGTTAACCAGCTATATCGGTAGGAGTGAGTGGTTGAGATACACACACACACACACACGAAGTACTGAGAACAGACACATTTTTAAGCTTATAGGTGTCATTACCTTAGTATATTGATTTAGGATTAACCTAAATCTCCCAAGCTGTCAAAACTTTATTGTTATTACTTGAATTATTAACAAGGTATCTGTCAACTTCAAAGTTGACTGAGAAACTACATGTAGTGGAAACATACTTTAATCGTGTTCCATCAACCTTTGTGTTCCTTCTCTGCACGACTAGTAGGCTTCAAGAAACACACGTAGTGGTAATATTCCATGTAAATAGTTACTATCGAAGTTTCTGTTTATCCCTCCATTATTCGGCTAAACAACCAATCCTTTATCTGTTTCTTAGATACCTATGGAAATTCAAATCTTTATCTGTTGTTTTAGGTGTATACTGCGCAACGGTAAAATAACGATTATACTAAATTCGGGGGTTCGATTCCCCTCGATGGACACAGCAGATAGCCCGACGTGGCTATAAAACATACACAATCTCTTGCCTGTTTGTTTGTTTTGAATTTCACGCAAAGCTACACAAAGCCGTCCCTAATTTAGCAGCGAAAGACTAGAAGGAAGGCAGCTTGTCAACATTATCCACAGCCAACTCTTGGGGCTACTCTTTTACCAACGCATAGTGGGATTGACCGTCACATTATAACGCTCCCACGGCCGAAAGGGCGAGCAAGTTTCAGACGGGGACTCCAACCCGCGACCCTCAGATTGCGAGTCAGGCGCCCTAACCACTTGGCCAGGTAATAATGAAATGGCCTAACTATATAAGCTTTGCATTAATAGTCACCAGATGGCACAGCGAATGTAAAATGTTTTAATGTTAGATTTTGTAATTTGATTTCTTAGCTAATTGAGAAGACTTAGTGTGTTAAATTACCCTTAATATTATACTGTACCGAACATTGAAACATTAGTGAAGCATAGTTAGATTTGATCACATAAAAATGTTAAAACGGTTATAAGGGAAGGGAAGCAGAGTTAGATTTGATCACATAAAAATGTTAAAACGGTTATAAGGGAAGGGAAGCAGAGTTAGATTTGATCACATAAAAATGTTAAAACGGTTAAAAGGGAAGGGAAGCAGAGTTAGATTTGATCACATAAAAATGTTAAAACGGTTATAAGGGAAGGGAATCGGGGATAAATTTGATCACATAAAAACTGTTAAACGGTTATAAG